AAAAGAATCATGTTATTTGAATTCTTTTTAAAATATAAAGCTTTTGCTCGATGATTTCTTGTATTGGAATCTAGTGGTATAGAGGTATATGTATTTATACCTCGTCTGTGCTGAAGATATACAGTTGACAACACTGTAAAACATATCATTTTCTTGAACCAAGTTGCATCATTTTGTTTGACGTAGTTCTCTAATTCACCGTTGTTTAAGCGTAGAGGACGCTAAAAAACTAGTGATTTTTTTCCTGGTCGGTATTTCAGAACCTGGGATGCAAAACTCCATTTGATGTCCGGTCTATGCAAATTAGTCAATGGTAATACCAATTTGTAAGAACTTAATATAGTTCTCTAATTGACCGTGGTATAAGCATAGAGTGCGCTAGAAAACCAGTGATTTTTTTTCCTGGTCGGTATTTCAGATCGTGAGATACACAGTCCAATTTATTCTATCTTTCATCAATGTTTTTACTTATTTTGTTATTATATCAATAGTTTCTGCGGTAAAATGTCTTTACTTACAGACATTTTCAATTCTACCAGTTTCTCATCGATAATTTCGAAACGAGCAACTCAAAATCGGGGTTTCAAGACGTAAGATGGCACCACACCTCGTCCTGTGAGTTTCACGCTCCATCTCGTTCTTCTTTTGGAGCTGAATACCTCGAAATATTCTGTATTCTAGTAAACATTAATTTCTTTTATCATTATTTATCGCTATTATAATCAAATTGAATATCAGATTAAATTTAATAAATCATATTAATAATATATTATTAATATATTGTAATATTATAATAATATAAATAAATTAAATTAAATGTTAATAATATATTATTAATATATTATAATAATGTAATAAATTAAATATTATAATATATTTAAACAATTATTATCTAATTATATAATTAAACTGCAGATGTTTATACGTTTTGTATAAATATTTAACTAGAATTTTTTGTCATTTATTAAATAAATTATTCTGCGTTGAATGTTTGATATATTTTTACATGTTGTATTATAACTAAAAATATTTTTAAAAATGCATAAATATCTAATCTATTTTAATGAATAAATTCAATAAAACGTAATATTGTTGGGTATAATCTAATTACAAGCTCTTTAGATATATCGATAAATATTATATGAATCTAGTTGCAATTGTGGAAGAAACTCTATTAACCTTACAATTATCAATTTCTACAATTAAAAGTCTTTTCTTATCGTTGCAATGTGATTAGGTGTTGGACTGTGTTAGATTTGACCTAATGGTATTATTTTTTACATTACTTGATTTTTACTTTTTATTTTTATTTTCTCTTTTTTTTTAGTTCTGTTATTACTTTATTATCCAAAAGCAAAATAAGATTTTTCTCTTTATTCAATACTTTAGTTTTTTAAATTATCCTATGGTTACCTAGAATATAATAATTATTGTACATATATAATATATGATATAAATATATCATTTTCCCTTCAATTACTATTAATTAAGTTGAAAAAAGAAAAAAACACGAATATCAAAAAAATAGTTTTTAGGTAAGGAGAATCAATAAGCAGAGAAGCTAAATTATCAGAAAAAGATAGTTGTCACTAGACTATGGATTTCATCGAAAATTTATTGCATAATATATAAAATACGATATCTTTATAATTTTCAGTAAGTGAAATAAATCTCTATTTAAAATAATGTGTCAAAAAGATATACATTACGAACATATAGTATTTGAATAAATAAATAACTAATTGTAGAAGGAGAAATTTTCATGTGATTGCGGATGATGTTCAGGATAGGAATTCGTGAAGATCAGTTGAAAAAAATCGCGATGTCTTGCGGCACGAAGACGCAGTCCTACAAAATCTGTCGATGCGCGTGTAAATGGCGACGCCAATACCTAATTCCACGTATAAAGAAACCTGGCCCGCCATTTGGCATCGGATCAAAACGCGACGCACACATTGGATTACATCCAAAATTCTATACCAGCAATACAGAGTCGCCAGCTGTAGGATCGTACGATCCCATGGTTCCTAAATGCAAGCTCAACATTACTAAGTAGCTATATTTAATATTACTATCAAATAATGTTATCAAGAATTAACACGTTCGCTGTTAGCTCTCTCTTAATTGGCGTGTTTCATTAAAGAATATAAATAAATTTCAGATATCTGCTGTTTATAATTAAAGTATAATATATTAAATACATCTCGTAATTATTCGAAACCGATTTCAGTAAATAAATTAAATAATTTAGATTTGAGATAGATTTAATTAATTGAATATACAGTGACGTCTTAAAGAAAGTTTAAGAGATAAATGATAAGAAAATACAATTATATTATATTGTAACATAATATATAATGTTATATTATAAATTATAAATATAATGTAATTGTATTAATTATAAATAGAATTGTATTTGACGATAAACAAATATAATATTTATTTGTTAATTCATATTCATAATATTTTTATTATCTTATATATTCCTATACCTTAATTTAATTTGGATTTAAAGTAGATACATGGCAAGACAGATACATAATGTAATAAAAATATCCAGCTTTTCAAAAAATCCATCGAATTTTATTTTAATACCATTTCAAAAGATATTTAAATGACATTCATGATTCTAAGTCTGGTTTATATTCTATGGTTCTAAAAGATCTTGTGTGTAAAAAATAATAAAAGATTCTTATTATTATTAAAAACAAAATAAAATGCAAAACTCTTCATCGTTCGAATACTTATGAACACTTGTAAACATAAATAATTTGGATATCTTACATAAATACACTATAGCAGCGAATGTGTTAAATAACTCATATCATAATTTATAAAACCAAACAAACTTGCTCAATTCGAAAAATTAGTTGGAAGAGGGAATTGGAGACTGAAGAATTCTCAAAGGACATGGGAGGAAAGTTGGAGAAATATGCGACTCAACGATACTTGGTGAAAACAGGACGTGGTCCAGGAACTCACGAAATACCTGGATGGCCTGAGATCATCTTGGACAATGCTTGCAAGACCGTTAAAAGAGATGTTGGATTTGGAACTGTTCCTCTCTTCGAACCTGCTTGGCCATCGACGACTCCAGGGCCAGGCGAATGATTCGAAATTATCATCTTTGTAGATGAAGTTTCATAGACGAATTTTACTAACATTTTTGATTGTTTGTTTCAGGATATACAAGGAAGTGTCCGTATTACTACATTGATAAAAGAAAACGAGAAGGACACTCTTCGGTTCCAACTTTTGAATACGATGGCCTGCAGCCTAGATTTCGCATTGTGGCTAAGCCTTGGATGCTGCCTTGTAATTTGTTCGTAATTTTCTATTTTAGTTAATTTTTGAAATGTTCAGAACACAGAGTGAGAAACATAATTGAACCAAACATTGGATGACAAAGTGTTGAGATTTCTTGAATTTTTGTCGTTTCTAATATTTCATGTACAATAAAATTATACAAATTGTTTTACGAAGTTCTTGTAAAGAGGAGATTGCAAAATCATGATAAATCTAGTGAAAAAATTTTTTAATATTTTTAGAAAATGTTATTTTTACTTTTTCACCCATTAGGTGATGTAAAACTGTTTTTGAAAGAAACGAACTCAGGATGTAAAGATAGATTAGAATGAGAAATATCTAGATTAACAGAAATTTTATAAAAATACAAGATATACAAATCCATTAAAATTCCACAAAAAATGTAAAATATTCACGCTAATATTTAATAAAAAGGGCCTTCATTTTTGTTATTTAAAAATATAAATTTCTATAAATATCTACGATCTATTTATCTATCAACAATATGGAAATTTGTACATGATAAATGATTTCCTTCGACAGGTACGACGTGAACGATTCAAAATCTCTGAATGCCTGTTTGCAGAAGTTTGCTGGGAAAAGGGGACCTTACGACTTGTTCACAGGTTATTTAAGAAGCATATTACGTATTTTAAATTGTCTACATCATCTGGTTCAATTGTCTTCAGGGCCGAGAGACGAAAGTACAATCAAAGGTTATTTTGCAACTGTAAAATTGGAAGATCGTGGGGACTGGCCTACATCATTGCCAGGAGAAATGGGCAAACTGTTGTGTAAATCAAATTATTATAAAGGACGTTGGAGCACTTGTCCAAGGTATTCTTATTAAATTCTTATTAACGTCGATTATCCTCAACTATGAAATTTGGAAAATATTGAAAAGAGGGATAAAATTACATTTCAATTATATCGAAATGAATTCTAATTTTTATAGTGACAAATTACCTGTTAAATTACGAATCATTTTTTGACAAGACGATGATTATACTGTTTGCACGAGGCAATCTTTATAAAATTTACTTTTAATGTCAATTTTATATTAATATATAATATTGCACATAATCAGCGTGCAAAAATTTGTCAGATAATTGAGAGAGAGAGTTAAAATTTCTTAGGAAATAAAATATCTAAGACTAAAAAAAGAATTAAATTTCTGTTTCTCTTTTAGAATAGTTCTAATTTTTGTAACAACCGAAAGATGAATAACGATCTTTTGATAGATTTCCAAAGGTGTCAGGTAGCAGAATGGTGTTGAAAAATATAGCATTATGCTACAAGGATCCAAAGGAACCAGGACCTGGCCATTATGATCCAAAGTCACCAAGGAAACCAAGAAATATGAAAAATTATCCTTTCGGCACAAACGTCGAGTTTATTTGGCCAGCTCCATGGGAAATTCAACCTGGCCCAGGAAGATACAAAATCAAAGATACCAGGACTATAAAAGGGAATGGATGGACTTCTGTCTTCAAGAGCAAAGCACCACGAACAAATTTTATTATCATTCCTACTTATAACGCTTTTTAATCCTTTTTCTTTTGTTATATTAAATAAGAGATTAGATTTGAAAATAGGCTCACTTCTTCTTCGTGATTTTCACGTGGTTGATATGTAACTGGTAGCTTCAAAATCGATCCGGTTTCGATTGTTCTTCCAGGAGGCACGAAAAATGGTCCGAATGGATCTAATAGATTCACGTTGACTTTCACGCTTCTGTTTGGGGAAAAAATATTTCTTTGAAAATATTCTTGTACAGTACGTTATTTCTTAATCGGATAGCTGGTTAATTTGATCAAATCATTTGTAGGTCGTGAATGAAATAAAATGAAAAATACATTTTTTTATATTACTTAGTTATTAAATAAAATAGCTGAATGTCGATTATGTGAATATCGTTTCAATTATATGAAATAAAACTACTACGAACGAAGTAGACTTATGTAAAATGTTTATTATGACTCTTGTTAATATTTTTTTTCAACACTATGATGAAGAAGAAATTATTATTCCATATACTTATTTACGACAGGCTAATTAATTATTATATAATTAAAATAATATATAATATAATCTATATATATTTTATATAATCTATATAATCTATATATATTATATAGATTATATAGATTATATATAGATTATATATAGATTATATAATCTATATATAGATTATATATAGATTATATAATCTATATATATTTTTTAAATTATTGTATTATAAATTTTGTATTAGAAACCGGTTAAAACAGCGCAACTAAGAAATAATGTACTGTATACTTTTTCTAACATTCAACATTTCAATTTCGAATATTAAACATTCGTTTAAAGAAGAAAGAAAAATTATCATCTTTCGAAAATCGTCTTATTCGTGCTATACTCACTGATTGGAAATATTTTTAACGAAGAGAAATTTTCTGGAAGATGTACCAATCGCCGTCGGTCCAAAAGCAATTTCTCGATCCTCGTTCAATATTAGAATTTCAGGTCTAGCAATAGGACAAATTAATTTTGCGAAAAGTAGCTCCTCGTGTTTCCTTCCATTCTTCGTTTCTTCTAAATCGATCGTGCATGTTACAAAAATCGTGGAAATACAAGGCTCAAAACTTTCCAGTAAACTAATTTCGCCAGCTAATTTGTCAACATCATTTCCCTCTTCTTTTTCTCTCTTAC